ACCTGTCAAGTATTGTGGCTTCTTTGTATCAACCGTAGTCACTCAGAATGACGCCCTCCTGGGAGCGCACAAGGCAAATGTATAGGCCAATGCCTTATCATGCCATGCCACGCAGGTAGTTCCAGCCTGTGCAATATCAACGTGACAGCTTCGAATTGATATTAGCATGTCAACAGGGATTATCCAGAAGCACCACTCTTAACCGCTTTGTCCCATGTATGGCCCCTGCAGGGATCTGAGCAACAACTCCCTTTCTGGCTCCCTTCCTACCACCATCAGCAATCTCACCTCCCTAACCATCCTGTAAGTCCCCATGTTTCACCCCACCTGCACCTTGTGTTATTTGTGTCTCCAGAAGGCCACCACGCCTTTCTGCTGCTACAGCTGCGTTCATCTGACATCACACACGGCCCGTCATGGAAAAACCGTACCCTTGCATTAAATGGATTGGTGTGTGTGTGTGGGGGGGTCTTCATGCCGTGCCACTGTACGTTGCACGCATGGTTGGGAATGATCACACATGACAGGTGTTTGCAGAACAACAACTTTGAGGGATCCCTGCCCAATCTCCCGTACAACGTATCGACTGTGTGCGTCTCTCGGAACTCGCATACCACAAACCAATCTCTTTCTCTGCTCCATTTGCGCTGCTATACTCTATCTCCTCTTTGCAAGTATTTTCCTCTTATACATACCTTCCTCTTATGCAAGTGCGATTGGGTTGAGACGATTCCTTGCGTGAGGCGCAAAAGGCAATAACAAAAAGAACATGTCATGTAGCAATCTCAGCTTTCTTCCTCTGGTATGTCTGTTATTATCTGTGGTCTGGTGGCAAAAATCAGTGATCTCAGCAACAACAGCTTCACAGGCGGGTTTCCTCAGAACTCTGTGAATCTCAGCAGCCTTGCCTCATTGTAAGAGTACAATGTCGCAAACACTCTCACTCTCACTCCAGTACAATGTCGCAAACACTCTCACTCTCACTCCAGTACAATGTCGCAAATACTCTCACTCTCACTCCAGTACAATGTCGCAAACACTCTCACTCTCACTCCAGTACAATGTCGCAATTACTCTCACTCTCACTCCAGTACAATGTCGCAATTACTCTCACTCTCACTCCAGTACAATGTCGCAATTACTCTCACTCTCACTCCAGTACAATGTCGCAAATACTCTCACTCTCACTCCAGTACAATGTCGCAGATACTCTCACTCTCACTCCAGTACAATGTCGCAAATACTCTCTCACTCCAGTACAATGTCGCAAATACACTCTCTCATTCCAGTACAATTCCGCAAATACTCTCACTCTCACTCCTGTACAATGTCGCAAACAGTCTGATGTCCCTGGAACCTACGGCTTAGCATTGCAAATCGTTTTGCAGCATGGGGATTAAAACATGATGATGTGCCACTCGTGGAGGTGGAGAGGGTGGCAAAGCTAGGTTAGGTGAAGTGCTACCCACATCCAAAAGCCCACACAACCACACCTTGCTCCTGGTCCTCTTCCTTCTCACAGTTTCTCTGTGCTTCCAGACCCTCACAACTACACGTATGCAACAGACTGCGTACACTGTTGTATTGATAGACATACGCTGTTCCTGTCGCTAGCGCAACCTCGTCCCTGCCCTCGCCCTGCACCTTGCTCCGCAGCAACGTCAGCAGCAACAGGCTTTCTGGGTCGCTTCCTTTGGAGCTGAGCAGTCTCGTGGCCCTTACATCCCTGTACGTGCCACTGCAGTCCCTTGTTCAAGCACCAGCTTCGTTCGCCTGCTTGCATCCAGAATTTGCTCCAATCGGTCGTTTGGACCCTTGTGTGCACCTCTATTTTACATTCCTCACACACCTCTTTCAAACATCCTCACACACCTCTTTCACGCCTCCTCACACACCTCTTTCACACCTCCTCACACACCTCTTTCACACATCCTCACACACCTCTTTTACACCTCCTCACACACCTCTTTCACACCTCCTCACACACCTCTTTCACACCTCATTACACACCTCTTTTCACACCTCCTTCCATCCCTTCGCCAAGCAGCAACACGAGTGGCAACCAGTTCTCAGGCGCCATCCCACCCGCCCTCCAAGCCCTCAAGCTCCTGAACTTCCTGTGAGACCGCTTGTTTCCTGTAGTCATGGAACCTCCACGTTTGTTCTCGTGAAAGCGGTCACATGGATTCAGCCTTGCTATCTCTGCCTCTTTCGAACCTCGCTCTTTTTGTGAATATCCACGTGGCATGTTGTCATTGGCAGGGACCTGAGTGGCAACTCTCTCAGTGGTAGTATTCCAGACTTCCTGAGTGTCCTCGCGTCCTTACAAAGGCTGTGAGTGAACATTTAAAAGCCTCCTGATTGTGTGGTGCCTGTAAGTAAGGGACACCTGCGTTTTGTGCTGCACGTTGCAGATCTAGTCTCATTGTGTGTGCCAACAACCAACGTCCCCACTTGCTCATTTCTGTCGCTCACCTGCATACCATCACTGCTTCAAATATGCTCGGCGCTTGCTATATGTTGCTCATTGTACGGCCCTTCCTTCCTGTCTCGCCCTGCTGCCTTCACAGCAATCTCAGCACCAACTCCCTCTCTGACACTGTTTCTGCATCCCTGGGAGCTCTGGACAAATTGACGTGCCTGTAAGAGTCGCCAGATACTTGAAGGTCAGGCCATGTGCTGTAATATCTAATTTTCTTTTTGTTGATTCCAATTATTGCATAAGAGCATCTCAAAGTGCACGAGTTTGTAAACTATTTCATGATTAGAGAAAGAAACCATACAGATGCATGAGTGCCCAAGGATCTCCACTTATGGAGAGGAGTGGCAAGAGGAAATCTCAAAACGCAATAAGAGAGTCAAAATGATTGGCCGAGCACGTAAAAGGCCTCAATCTTGTACTGGCCTTTTGCAACCTATTCCTGCCACTTCAGCTGCTTTCCTCTGCTGAAAGATACAGGTCGTTTGCAATTGCAATCTCCTCTTAACCTCGAATTTCACCCATCAGCCCCTTCTCACACTTCCTTTCTTCCCTCTCCCCTCCACAGTGACGTCAGCAGCAACCAGCTGTCCGGGTCTATCCCATCTGCTTTTGGCAGTCTCACCGTGCTCGTGCACATGTGAGTGATGCACGTGTGAGTGATGCACATGTGGAGAAATGCGCAAGTAATGTGCGATGTGTTGGGGTGGGAGTAAACGGCACATGTGCATGCTACACTATTCATGCACATATGACCTCCCTGATTGGTGTGGTGGACGAGAGTGATGCGTGCTCACGCCTCCACAAATGCGTTGTCAATCCCAACTGTGTTTTACCGGAGCAGGTGTGCGAAACTGATTAACAGCACATCAATTCTGGAACCCGCCCGGCCCATGTACCCATAATTGCCTCCATATATTTCGGATCACATCTTTGCAAAACTCCCCTTCCTGCCCCTCGCAGGGACATGAGCCGCAACGGCATTTCAGACTGCATCCCCACCACCATCGGCCGCCTCACAGCTCTCACCTCCCTGTACGCCCACATGGGGTCATCCGAATCCCTTCCTTAAAGCACACCTTGCCGCTTTCCTTAAACCAGAGATGGTCCACGCACAGAATTCATGCTCGGGTGACGCAATCCTCACTCATACTCCCCACCTCACAGCACGTGCACATGAATCTGAGCCTTGCCATGATCATTTTGCTTCTCTTGCATCTTTGGGCCGCTGGCAACTCACTCTCTCACACCACCTGTGCCTCACACCACCTGTGCAGGAATCTGAGCCGCTCAAGTCTCACAGGCGCCATCCCTGATTCCGTCACTGCTCTCTCCAACCTGATTTTCCTGTAAGCTTTCAAGAAGTAGACTTCTAAAGTCACAACCCGGACCTGCAGGTCCTGAGAGTCCCCAAGCTGTGCAGTCTCATATCCTCGCCTCACACCTGGTGTACCCCTTTCACAATGACACACAGCAGCAGCTGAAAAGCACACCCAAACCAAACCCACTTTAGTAATGGCCTTTGAAGCGCATCAAGACGCAACCCCAGGAGAAGCAAGTAGCTTGCACAGACATGCGGAGCCTATATTTTCCATAACCAATGTGGACTGGAATACATAGCTGCTTTTATGTGCCATCTGATCGTTTCTCATTTGCTCATGCCAATCATCTGAAAACATCTCCAGCGTTGTTCTTTGCATGGTGTCATCATATACGCATGCCCCATCTGAACTTTCCCCCTGCACTGCGATATTCTGATCCGCACTGCAGGGATCTGAGCTACACAGGGGTGTCTGGGTCAGTGCCATGGGGCGTCAACAGCCTGGGACAGCTCCAGTCCTTGTAAGATACTCCTTACCTGCCCAGAGGTTGCCAACAAAACTGGGTGTATGTGTATGCTTGGTTAAATGTTACAACTTCTCATCTGGACTTACTTACTTGTATATTCAACGTGAACCCTGAAGGTGTGACAGACTAAACAGAGTGCAAAACCTCATGCATCCGTCACGTAGGGGGGGCTGAGGAGCACTGTGATCCATCATGCTCCTCAGCCCCCACTACAGGCGTGCAGTTGCGACAGTGTAAGGACAGTGCAAAACCTCGTGTAAGGATTGTGGCACACTGGCATCTGCCCATGCTCTCACACCCCCTACCTTACCCTCACACCCCCTACCTTACACTCACACCTTCCTACCTTAACCTCACACCTTCCTACCTTACCCGCACCCCCCCCTCACACCACCAGGTACGGCACCCCCAGCATCTTCTGCAACGACAGTGCCACCTGCCCTGCCGCCTCTCCACTGCCCGCCAGCCCGTTGCCCCCTCCTGCACCGCCAACCAACTCGTCTGCGCCCAACACCACCTGCCACGTGTGCCAGAGCTACTGCCTCGGTTGCTCCTCCTCTCCCTCTGGTGCGCCTCCTACTGCTAGAGCTTTACCTCCTGCACCGCTTCTTCCAAAATACTCACTCCATCGTTCGTTGTGTCAATGGAATCATATGTGTCGGTGCATGATAGAATGAGTAATCTCGGAGGTGCACTGCACATTCACTCCATGCTCTCCTCACTATCTTCCTCCGCTCTCTCCCTCGTGTTCTCTTCTCCCTTTTCATGCCTCCTCAGCTACCGCCACCGACTCTACCAGTGGTCTATCCCCGGGAGCCATAGCAGGCATAGTGGTGGCAGCACTCCTCGCTCTCATCGCCCTTGCCCTCCTCCTCTGGTTCCTCTTCCGCCCATCTGAACCCGGTAAGTCCCGTTTCCAGCCGCGATGCCGACTGATTCTTTGCTGCCTTCACTCACCTGTCGCTCCATCTTAATGTCCTGTCCGCGCTGGTTCAGCTGCACTTTGCCACATCCTTCCCCACTCACTTCACCCCACCCCAGCGTGCAAGCAGTACTCACTGGCGGACATCCAGCAGGCCACCAACTTGTTCTCGGAGGTCAACCTGATCGGGTCGGGGGGCTTCAGCGACGTGTACAAGGGCGTGGACCCGAATGACCCGGAGGTGCTGTGGGCCGTCAAGCGCGCCACCATGCTCTCTAATGACTTCAAGAAGGAGGTGAGGGGAGGGTGAGGATGGGGGAAGGGGGAGGGGGAAAGGAGAGTGAAAGGAAGCAAGGTAAGGCACTATGGGGAAGAGGAGAGTGAAAGGAAGCGAAGGTAAGGCACTATGGGGCCTCGGCGATGTGTACAAGGGCGTGGACCTGCGAGACCCGGAGGTGGTGTGGGCCATGAATTGCATCAGTGTGCTACGACAAGGAGGAGGCACGGGGATTCAAATGGGTTGGTTTTGTGGACCAGTCTGGACCAGTGTGGACCGATGTGGAGCGGTGTGGAACAGTGTGGACATGTATGGACCGGTGTGGGGCGGTGTAGACCGTCAAGTGCGCCACCATGCTCTCCAACGACTTCACGCAAGAGGTGGGGAGGGGGGAGATGAGGGGGAACAAAGGCAGCACCCTATGTGGCTGCAGTGATGTGTACAGGCCCGTGCCACTGCTGGGGTAGTGCAACGACTACAATGCCTGCTCCCATTCACGCCTCCTCCTTTCCACTTCACCTTCCTAATCTCCCTCCCACCCCCCCGTCTACCCCTACCACTAGGTGAAAGCGATGGCGCGGCTGCAGCACCCAGCACTGGTGCCATTGCTGGGGTACTGCATTGACTACAACGAGACCAGCAGGCAGATGGAGCAGATCACCGTGTCCCAGTTCATGCCCAATGGGGACCTCTCACACAGGACCAGTCCAGGTGAGGCTCGGGCGAAGCCAGGTGATGTCAGGTCCAATCCCCTCGGACCTCCCAGGAGCCAAGCCCCTCTCACCTCACGAACCCCTACTTCTGCATGCTCTCCTCATCTCTTCATGCCCACACCTCCCAGAGGCCAAGCCCATATCAAACTCTCAGCCTCCTCATCTCCCCATACCCCCGCCGCACACCTCCCAGGTGCCAAGCCCATGTCTCTGCGGCAGAGGCTGGCGGTGTTGGTGGACGTGGCGGACGGGCTGAGCTTCCTCCACAGCCGTCGGATCGTGCACCGCGATGTCAAGCCGGCCAACGTGCTGCTAGATGCTGACATGCGGGTGAGACTCGGATTGGTGGTAGGGGCCAAGGTGTAAACCACAAGGTTAGCTCCAGTTCACTAATCACCTCGGGTAAAAGGGTGTGTTTGTTTGGTGAGTAGGAGGCACCTGTAGCCCTTGCAGAGAAATTTCTGGGCCATCCCAGTCTCCACTCTCAGCGTGTATATATGTAATACATATATTTACATGTATGCATTTCCATACATACACATATCCATGCATACATCCATACATACATACGTACATCATACATACATACATACATACATACATACATACATACATACATACATACATACATACATACATACATACATACATACATACATACATACATGCATGCATATATCCATACACACACACACACACACACACACACACACACACACACACACACAAACATACATACATACATACATACATACATACATACATACATACATACATACATACATACATACATAAATACATACATGCATACTTATATATACAGATACAAATATACATTTATGGACAAAATGTCTGTACACGTATATATCAGCTTTCAAATCGCTTGAGCTTGTTCTGATGCATACATTTTGAAATGTACTAATATTGGAAAAACATTGTTAGTATTCGTTTCTTTATTGTCTATCCGTATTTATATTCAAACAACCCCTTTTTTAGTGTCTCGTTGTCACTTCTCCGCACCACATTCCACTGTTTCCACTCATCCTTCCTTCCTCCCAATACACCACCCACCCGTGCATGCTAAGGTGGCAGAGTTTGGGTTCATAAGGATGATGGAGGCAAGTCAAGTGACCCAGCTCCTCCTCCCCCTCCCCACACCACGCAACCTAACATCGATTTCCTTTCCTTTCTCCCCTCTTCTTCCCTCCCATTACACCACCCAACCATGCAGGCGAAGGTGGCGGATTTTGGGTTCATGAGGATGATGGAGGCGAGCAAAGTGAACCCCACCAGGGTGTTGGGCACACCGGGCTATGTGGACCCCGAATACCACGACACGCACCTCGCCACCACCGCCACTGACGTTTACAGGTGAGCGGTGCTGGCCGGGGGTGGTGCTTAGAGTTGTAACAGGTCGGTGTGGGGTGATGGGCACACCGGGCTATGTGGACCCCGAATACCACGACACACACCTCGCCACCACCGCCACTGATGTCTACAGGTCGGCAGTCCTAGCCACTGGTCTCTTGGTGCAGCAGCCGTGGGCGTTGTCGGTTCATTTAGCACATGTGAAGCTGCAGCAGCTTTCAGAAACTATCTCTCAAATCCGGGCCTTCCATTACAGCAGAGATCATTTCCAGCAGATCACAGCAGCTGCTGCTGGAACCCCTGACCAGATTAAATCGGCCAATAAAAACTATCTCTTGGATCTGTTCAAGTGCCAGCTAATCTGGTTCGTCCACTCCCCACTATCCCTCAGTTTCGGAGTGCTGGTGCTTGAGCTGCTGACAGGCAGGGAGCCCATCCTCTCTGTCGATGGCTCGCAATCACACATCCGTGAATGGGTGAGTCACACTCCCCTCTTCCCCATAGCTACATCTGTTGTTATGGAAAACGTTCTCTTGTCTTGAATGGTCCTTTCTTGTCTCTGAATCTTTGAACACCCATGGCTTTTATTACTGCTTCTTATCCCTCCTCTGACCCATCCTTTCTTTCCCCTTTCACATTCGTCCCCTCCTAATTGTTCTCCCTCCTCCTACCCCCGCTCCCCACGTACAGGCGACAGCAGAGCTCTCTAGCAGTGACGTCAGTTCCATCATTGACCCGCGGATGGCATCCCCAGCTGCCTCTACCAGTGACGTCAGCATGGTGCATGCTGACGTCTTGCAGAGCCTTGCATCCCTGGCATTGGCATGCACTGTCATGCCCGCTGCCTCGCGCCCCTCCATGGCCAAAGTGCTCTCACAGCTGAAGCAACTCCACGAGGAGGTGGTAAGGCGGGAGGGGGATAGCGGATTGGAGCAAGGGAGTGGGTTTGTAGGAGTTGATATGGGTGTGGGAGGAGTGGGAGGGATGGCGAAGGAGAAGTGGGAGAGCCCAGCAGATGGGGCGTCAGCGGTGAGTGTGACGCCAGTGACAGCTGTGAGGGATACAATATGCAGCTTGGAAGGGAATGAGAGCTCCAGTGGTGGAGAGGGGACGAGTGGAGAGGCGAGTGGGAGTGTGGCTGGTTATCACAACTGAGGGGAGCAGGTTGGAGTTTTTAAGATGATGTAAATAGCTGTTGTGTTGTTCCTGTTGTTGCTGTTTTCTTCTTCTTCTTCTTCTTCTTCTTCTTCTTCTTCTTCTTCTTCTTCTTCTTCTTCTTCTTCTTCTTCTTCTTCTTCTTCTTCTTCTTCTTCTTCTTCTTCTTCTTCTTCTTCTTCTTCTTCTTCTTCTTCTTCTTCTTCTTCTTCTTCTTCTTCTTCTTCTTCTTCTTCTTCTTCTTCTTCTTCTTCTTCTTCTTCTTCTTCTTCTTCTTCTTCTTCTTCTTCTTCTTCTTCTTCTTCTTCTTCTTCTTCTTCTTCTTCTTCTTCTTCTTCTTCTTCTTCTTCTTCTTCTTCTTCTTCTTCTTCTTCTTCTTCTTCTTCTTCTTCTTCTTCTTCTTCTTCTTCTTCTTCTTCTTCTTCTTTAATAAGTGTGTATTAGGTTTTGATTATCCATGGGGAGACATCATATTTCACCAAGGCATTTGAGGGATCTTGAAGCTTGTGAGCTTATCTTTTTTGTGGGTTACAAGAGCTTAGGTTGGGACATAGTGTTTAAATCAGGAAATAAAATTATGATGGAAGAAAACTGTCCTTATTATTAGTGGAGCTAATCATTGTTTACTACACATTTTAATATAAACCCAGCCTTATACCACTTATCACTACTTGAAAGTTTGCATGCAACACATTTACTAGCATATCTGTTGGAATAACCATCGGTTATTATAACATTCCCGAAGGTTCTCCATTAGCGCACCGCTTCATAACGAAGCAGCGCACTTGTACCAGTAACGCTGTTAATAGGAATGGAGTGTTGGCCCCGCCCACGCTTGGGCGACGCCGACGTTCTGGTCGGATGTACGGGAGAAGCAGCCGACCGTACGCAGTGGGGGAGCTGCTTGACGAGCTTCATCGAGCTGCAGGGGATCGCTGCGGTGTTGCCGTCGACTAGGGGAGCTCGACGGCCTTCTTCTGAGGGGCAGGTCGACGAGGTGGTCGTCGACCTGCACAGGACTGTCGCGGGGCTGGAGCCGTCGACAAGGGGAGCTCGACGGCTGCAGCTGACTGGGCTGGTCGACGGACGGGCCGTCGACCAGGAGGAGCAGCTGACAGTGCTGGTCGACGGAGGGGTCCGTCGACCAGGGTGTTCCTCGACGGGAGCTGTGGTCGACGAGGGAGGCGTCGACCAGAGCACTGGGTGGTCAACCAGGCCGACCAGGTAACCTGTTCGGCGAGTTTTTGCGGAGGCACGCGAACGTCGTCGAGGTCGAGGTGACGAATACGAATTCGGGCTGGTATCCCGAAATCGATGTGGCTCGTCTGGCGCAGACCACAGCCGGCAGATGCACAACGGTCTAAGTCGGGCCAATCGTCTGCGCGCACCTGCATACGTGCGCACTGCTGTCTCCTATGGGTGCAACGCTGGACAGCCGCTCTGCTGCAGCGTTGGCACGCCGTCGACCTGCTGTGTTGGCAGGCCGCGTTTTTGCAGTGCTGTTGCAACTCCTCTACGCAACGCTGGCAGGCGGTCGACCATGCTGTGCTGGCAGTCGACCAGGCTAGCTGCAGAGTTGCTAGATGTCTGATGCTTTCTTTGTAATTGTGATTGCTATCATTGTGTAATGCAATCTTTGCTAGTGGAAACTCTTGCCGATTTCTCCCATGAATGTGCAAGTGCTAAGGAACTAAGAAAATCTACGATCACTCCTAGAGTTCGTGCCAACACCCCGTAGTCTAGCTCACGACTATTGTAGAGTGACTCTTCGCAATGCGTTAGCTTGTATAGAGCACGCAAAGGTCAACAGTCGCAGGAAGTCAATCGATGACGGTTGCGGGACAGTCATTCTTCCTAGAACAACCCTTTATTAAAATTCTCATTACAACACATGTTACTGAGTCTGCATCAACATGTCTACTAAAGGCAAAACTACAGCATACTCCCTGGGCCCACCACCAACAACAACTCCGCCGTCAGCGATGACATCCGTCAACAAAAATGTCGTTGAATAGCTCATCGCACGCATCAGTGCCCTTGAGATCCATCAGACGATGAGCATCGACGGCTCCAGCTACGCAAGAGGAGTCACTGGGCTTTCTCTCCCAGGATAAGACCGTCAAGCTTCAGCTCCTGCACAAGACAATCAGCAACGTGCACAAACAGTGGCATTAGCAACTTTGCATACCAAATTTGTCACGAATTCAAAGTTGAAGACATCAACTCTATTCGACGGCAATGATTTCTACACGTGGAGTTTCGAGTTCGAACTCCTTGCGACAACCGCACAGATTTGGATGTACTACGACGGGACTCTTACCTTTCCAACAGAAGGCCCTCCTCAAGAAAAGAATCTCTTCCACCACGAGTCTCTCCTCCCGTACACCGTCCTTCTCCGTAATCTCTCCCCCACCGAGTAGCTTGGCATCCGCTCCTTCAAGACGGAGTGGGCTCCCGCGCAAGTATCTTAGGAATACATGCGCATCATGTATATGGCGACAGATCCGGTAACAATGAGTCGCCTGCTCAGCCAACTGACATCAGCCAAAATGGTTCAAGAGGAGAAAGTGGGACCCTATATCAGTCGCTGCCGAAATCTGCGTGACCAGTTCAAGAAGTGTGGCGGAAACGTCTCTGATGACATGTTCGTCACCGTGGTCTTTTCCGGACTAGGACCAGAGTGGCAACAGTGCAAGTCGCTGCTTTGCACTCGAGGAGCTGTCTCCGAAGCCGTCCTCTGAGCAACAGGAGATCGATCTGTACAACGAAAGAAATGGCAAGAGAGAAAAATAGTGTTCTACGCTAGCGCAATTGAAGGGGAGTCAAACGAGAAAGAAGGCTATTTCTGCAAGTACTGCAAGAAACCAGGGCACAAAATGGACCGTTGCTTCAAGCGCAAAGCCGCCAACGAAAAGCACAACAATGGCGGCTCACCTGGTTATAAGTCTCAAGCTTCAACTCCCGCCGCGACAACAGCGGCACCAACGGCGACGATGCCACCTCCTGCCATCGCGAGCACCTTGCAAACTGTCAACGCATTTCTGCCAAGGACAAGGGAAAAGGGACAATCCTGAGTTGCATGGCGCGCTGCAGAGGCACTCGATACTATAACAGAGTGCAGTTTCCGACCATCGGGCCAATTAAACCTATCGAGCCAAGCCAGACAACGACCCCACGATTGGACTCTGGAGCAACATGCCGACAACACTCCCACCTAATTACGAGTTGCCTCCAAGCACGCCCGAGTCTCCTCTCAGGTTCGCCGCAACCGATGAGACAGTCCTCTTGAGCTTCTACGTTGACCTCGACCGCATCGTAACCCCCAAGATCGCCAGCGTTGCAAACTTCAACAAATGATACCTAGATAGCTGCTGCGAGCAACACGTGGTGGGATCATCAATGTTTATCAGCAACTCAAGACGGCTACGACATCCATGCAAAAAAACTGTCTCAAACAACAATCGACTGAAGGCTTACAACATCGGGGAAAAATGCCTTCAATCAAGTGACACTAGCTTCACCATTCACATCGATGATGTAATCGTCGTCGCCGGTCTTCAGTTCAATCTTCTCTCTGCAGCACAACTCATGAAATGCGGAATTGAAATATGAATCAACTGCAAAGAAAAACGTTTTGAGCTTCTCTACAAGAAGACTTACATCGGCAAAGCGGTTGACGAAGACGGGGTCTTCGTCCTCAACTTCGAATCAACAAGGAAACGACGGCGATACCGACAAAACGCTCCTGCTAAGAACGACCACCACGGAGCCACCAACTTGGATGCACCCTGAAGAAACAGACCTTGAGCGTCTTGGACCAGATGGTCCCTACCGCACACTCGCCGTCCCAATCGCCTCAACCGCTGTTCCCAGCGACACTGGACCTGCATCAATGGAAGAAGAAGCAAACATTGGTACGTCAGGAAGGGAAGCAATAGCACCACAAGTGAACACCGGAGGATGGGGAAACATAGGAACTACTGCCACCATTGGCTGGGGCACTAATGTCGCGGTAGGCGCATGGGGATAAGTCGAAGCTCCACCAGCAACTGCAGGTAGTTGGGGCCAGCCGACGCTTCCGCCAGGAGTCCTTGCTGAGGGCGGATGGGGAACTTCAGCAACTCGATCGCTGACGTAGGTCCGCTGATGCCAGTTGCCACGCAAAACTTCTCTAATCGTCGGGAACGTAGTGGAATTATACTCACGTTTTTCAACGTCGCGGCCGTCACAGCTGTCCGTTTCCTGAGGGGAGGGAGGTCACGGTCGATCGCGACTGTTAAAGGCAAGGATCCAGCGGTGGCGAGGAGCGCCCCATAAATTAATGGCCGCGAGGAGCAACTACTCGTTCTCCTGGCCGGCTGGTGCGCAGCTCCTGGACCCCAAGGCATCCTTCCTCGTCCCCCCCCCCTCCCCCCCCCCCCCCCCCCTCCCCTTAAAAGGCGGGGTAAAAGGCGGGGTAGGCTAGGAAAGTAGCTCTGATACCAGGTGTTATGAATGAATTTTCAGAGTGCGCAGGATAACGAATAACGAGACTGTGAAATTACAGAGTGACGGTACAATGAAAGTGGCGATACTAAATAGGGGTTTTCCTAGCTAGGCGAGAAGGTCGGCGAAGATGGATCGGAAAGGTTGCGATTGGTGCGGGGGCGACTTGGGAGTGGTTTGGTGCGGAAATGTAGGCCGAACTAACTGACGTGTGGCCCCCGGAATTGTACCCGCTAAAGTGAGAGTGCAGTAAGGTATTACAATCCCTTACAGATGTCATGCTTTGTTACAAGTGCAATTGAGTGAGCGAGCAAGAATTGAATTGTCGAATCAAAACAATACAATGAGCTGTCGGAGTAGGGCTAGCGGAATGTTTGAACTAGTGAGGCATGAGATACAAATATACAACCCTAAAGAGTTTGTATTCCCTACAGTGTACCTCACTATAGCCTAACATGCATGTATATAATTTCACACACCCCCATCGGCTAAGTGAGGGGCATCATAACAAGCGA